TCTTGCAATCCCGGAGGTGCAGGATTGCAGCTATGCTGCAGCTTCAGGACCATCACGGATGTTGGACATGCTCTTCGTGTTTTGTAACTGAGCATTGCAAGTGAAATGGTGCTAGATTTCCCCCTGCAAAGCAAAGAGCTCAGATTATATAAAGATTATGTATGGTATTTCTCTGTGTGCTGTCTTTCTCTGCTGAAGTGCACCGCAATGCTACAGACAGGCATTTCATAAATTTTCCTCTTTCTATTAACACTAAATCAGTATCCAAGGAGGTTTGCACAAGGCAGTGTATCTCTAAGGAGACATTTCTCCTTTCGCACCCTTAACTGATTCGCTCACAGAATCCCATCAGGAGTTCAGTTCAAGGAGTTTTTGCCTTCAGAAGATTTGAAATAAAAGCAGGTTTGGTCTCCTGCCGTTCTGTGGTATGTGCAAGAAGGCTGCTTCTTGCAATAAGCAGTGGTCAACTGAGAGTTTATTTAAAAAGTAGGATGAACTAAACTTTGCCATAAGTATTTGAAATACTTGAGTTTCCGGATGCTGGCAACCAATCTATTTATTGCTGAAATTACAGAATTGCCAGTTTAGCTGTTTTGGAGTTAGCTGTGGTTATTCACTGCTGTGCTGCCTGATTCATAACTTGCATCAGTGAGTAAAAAGACTTTTTACTCCTTGCTAGGCTTTTGCTGTTGGATTGTTGCTTATTTTTGGTGATCCTAGAAGAGCAGAGGATATAAAAGTTTGGATGGAAATTCTGTTAGCATCTTAGTTTCTCACCTGGCTGTATGCTGGTACCTCTGACTGCTCATGTAGGTTACACAGGCAAGCAGCAGCACAGCAGAATTTTAATCAAGATTTTGGCATGAAATTGGAGCAAAAGTGCATCGACCTTTTCCCCTGTTTGAGCTTTACATGACTGAACACTTCCATGAGCAGCAACGTACTTGTGAAGTCTGTTGGTCTGCCGTGGTATTTCCAAGCTTTTTCTTCTCTAATGGCTTCAAGAGCATTTCTGTGGTTATTTTTTTGCTTCTGTGGGGAACTCAGCCTTGATGATAGCGCCAGAAATTCTGACAGCTTTTGTTCATCGAGCTGGGTAGGGGCTGGCTTAGTGCAGTGTGCGGCGTTGCTTGCCCGGATGTCACCCGTCGCTGCGATTCACTTCTGGCGTGGGGAATGAGGGCGGGCTGCACTGGGGACACATCTGCCGACTGCCAGGGAAGGTATCCGCTGTAGGGACGTCCCTCCTCCCTTGCTGGTCTCCCTCTCGCCTCGGGTGAGAAATGCCCCCTCAGGAAGTCTCCTTTGGGAAATGCAAAGTCCTTTTGGGAACTGCCTGTTTATTTTCCCTTGCTTCTGACTTAAACCTCCATCAGACGCTGAGCCTTTCCCATGTCGCGCTTCGCTCGACAGCATCGTGGGCCTGTTACAGCCACCTGGCACTTGCTTCGCTGTGGCTTCGGTTTTGTCTCAGGCCCTTTGTGGGAAGCAGGCTGTGACTGTCCGTGCCCTCCTGAATCCCTCGCTCTTGGACTGTCTTCCAAGCGGTCGGTTTTGATCCCAGAGAAACCTCCTGTGGGGGACGAATTGCCCTTCACAGCTGACCTTCGTGCTCAGGCTGTGCGGGCGGTGCAAACATGACCTCTTCTTCTGCTGGCTAAATAGCCCGCTGCACTAAAGACTAGGGGTGCAGACGGGAAAACCAGCAGGATCCTTTCCCGAGGCGCGCAAGCGGCAGTGCACCTCGTCGGGGAAGGACCTCAGGCATGGCACGCGTCACCCACTTTTCCCAGCTCGTGTCTAATAACCTTTCTGACCATCGCTGGCCAGACCAGGGCGGGATTTGGCATGCACCGACTCGCAAGCACAGCCCTACCCGCAAGGCTGCCCTGAGCTCTCCTGTCCTCCTCCTGCGATGGCCGTTACCAGCCTTGTCCCGGCTCCCTGGGCTCCTCATGGTGAAGCCAGGCGGGGAACCCCTGGAAGCTGATATGATGAAAGCGTTTTATAGCAATCGAATGAAATTGGAGGCCAGTTGGAGGCCAGCGGCAGGGGTTTCTGTCATGATTAATGAGATATTTAGGTATTTCATTTTGTAGGAGCTACCTGAAGCACAGTTCACATCTAAGAGCTGTTTTTCAGAAGTACTTAAAAAAATTAATGCTAATGGTGGTTATTTAATTATTCTCAACAAATCGGTTACAACAACTGCAGGGTTATATTTGGGTTGAACACATTACAAAGCCGTTTAAGAAGCTCATATGCTAAGAAGGATTGGGTTTAGAGCTTTGCACATTACTTTTCTGATATAATACGAGCTAAAAGAGGAGAAAGGGTTGAAATGACCTGTAAATTGGTTAAATGCAAAGTCTACTCAAATGTAAAGCTTTTGACGCTGATGTTGAATGAGTATCCATCCTAATAATAGGATGTATATTATTGCTATTGGAAGTAGTGAAATCTAGTAAATGAAGTTAGCTTGTTTTACCTTTTACCTTTTTATACCTTTTACCTTTTTTACCTTTTTCCATTGTCTAGCATCTTTAGTGGGATTGATAAAGATATTGCAGGAAAAGGGAGAAGTGATATTAATCGTTTTCAGACCTCTTTTAACTACCAGTTTTAAGGCTTATTGTGCGTTCCCCAGCCGGGCGCACGCCATGATTAAAGCTGAGTTTATTTCTGCTGAAAGTCCTACTCCTGCGTTAAGGGGGCTCTGTTGCTCTCGGTCATTCTGGTCCTGGTGCCCCTGCACCAGGATCGCACCATGACGCCGTGAAGCCTGGGAGAAAGCTGCCGGCGAGGCAGGCTGCTTTTGAACTGAGCTCCTAGGATGCACTCAAGCATCTTAAAGTGAGGCCGTTCACCAGAGGACAGAAACTAAAGGAGCCTCTTCCCTAAAGGACAGAAACATAATGTTACAATTTTTACTTTTAAAACAGAACCACGGTCGATCAGTTATTTGCTCCAAGGCACTGTTTTCTGCAAATTGACTGCAACAGAGTAGAATATTGCATTTTCTGCTCTCAGCACAGCAAGGATGAATATCTGGAGCATGGAAGATTCAAAGGTGGAAAGGAAGCAGATGCAGGTGGGAGCTGGTGGTTAGCTGCAGGGCTGCCCTGAAGACTGATGCTGGCAGGAACTGGGAGCTTTAGTTTCCCTGCAGGTTGGGAGCAGGCAGGGTTATGTCAGGGGCCTGGAAGAACTGTGCAATGAAGTGGACAAAAATGAAGCTTTGAGTTGAAGTATTTGCAGCTTTTATAGAAAGCAGAAGTGCTAATGATAACACAGTTTTCCGTTAAGTCTGATGCATTGTATTAAGGAGTGGCTGGCAGTTTTTTTTCTCTGAGCATTAAGCCACAGAACAGGATGTGAATTTTTTGCATTGCTGAAGCAATGGAGAGAATAACTGGAATACAAATAAAATGAGGTTAAATTCAGCTATTGCTAATCTCTCTGCTGTACAGCAATTTTTTTGCTGACCTTTAACATTTTTCAGGTTTTGATACATGAGTGGGATTGTTACTGTCTGGGAAGTGTTTAGTCATTAAGGAACAGGACTGTATAGCTGCCCGTGTGCTTTGGTCTATGTCTAACATGTCTTCTCCACTGACTTTAAGCTAGCGTAACAGTGCCATAAAAGACCACGCAAAGCAACGTTATTTGTGAAGGACTTGGTCCTTTCAGCTATGGGAACTTGGATTTAACTTTGTGCAAACTGCAGTACTGGAGCTGTGAGGACCTTCTAGTAAGGTTCTTACAGATTGTAATTTTGTGTTTTGTTAGACCTCTTCAGTTTGGAAAAGAAAATGCAGCTGTACATGAAGAACCTCTGGACTTGGGGTTAGGAGCCAGCAGCACTGCTCTGCGTATCGGCACGTTGGCACATAGCCATGCCCCTGCCTCTCACTCAGCCAAAAAAGCGTCACTTTTTTTTTTAAGTACGCATTGCCCATCTTTCATTTTGCCAAAGGCTTTGCTGCTGCGGGACCGTCTCCACTTGCGGGCGCTGCCAAGCAAGGGGACAAACCCAGCCCAGCTGTAAGCGGCCTTTCCAGCGGGCTGGGGTGTTAACTGTACCCAGCTCCCTCCTGAAATCCTGAAAAAATCAGGAGGTTAAAGTGTCTTTTACCACGATGGGGAATATTAAACCGTTACTGAATAAGCTTATATGAAAATACAGAACCTGATAAGCCTGAACAGAAGTTTTCAGTTTTCCTAATAAATGCCCATGTGAGGGCTATACAATGCTTCCCTGGCTGCTTCGCCAAACATTTTGTTTTAAAAAGCTTATTTTTCTGCTTATCTAGGGAGGCAGAGAATTCAAATGTGCACTTGTGCGGGGGAGTCTTTTGGATGCTGGTGTGATTGGGCCAGAGGTGCAGGGAGGCAACATGAGGAGGGTGGAAATGAGGTTTCGAAGAGTGTCTGACCCTTGTTAATGAGGGAGCTGCCGGCCTGTAGTGCCTCTGGTTTCTCCCAAGGTCACTCTCACTTTGCCATGTGGGCTACCCTTTTTGTCACCATTGCTGTCTGTACTGGCTCCTGCTTGGCAATAGCACATCATGGGGTGGGTGGAGGAACGAGTGAACTGGAATCCAAGGCTGGGCATCGCAAAGTGTATGGTAGAGAAGGAGCACGGGACTATGGCCTAGAAATAAAGTAATGAAGAAGATATGGGTGCTGCCCAAACAGCCTTCCCTTTTCCCTCCACCTGCCAAGGCATATCAGTAACTGAGAGGACCTTGACGAAAGCAAAAGAGGTTAAATGAAATCAGGTATTTTTTCAGTGGAAAGGTTAATCAGAAAGCAGCGTCCTTTCTTTTGCTGGTGGTGTGCCCTTTGCCCCGTACCCAGGTGGTCTATATTTTACACGCTCGCTCTTCGTGGGGGTGGGAGCGGCGCTGGGTGTCTAGCATGCTGCTGGCCTCCTCTTGCCGTTGGCGGGTGCTCCACCTCGGCACTGGGGCTAATGTCCCTGCTCTCTTGCTCCCCAGCAGCGAGACCTGAAACCCGAGGAGAATGGGCAAGCAGAACAGCAAGCTGCGCCCTGAGGTGCTGCAGGACCTGCGGGAGAACACCGAGTTCACGGACCACGAGCTGCAGGAGTGGTACAAGGGCTTCCTCAAAGATTGCCCCACAGGACACTTGACTGTGGAAGAGTTCAAAAAAATATACGCCAATTTTTTCCCCTACGGCGACGCCTCGAAGTTCGCAGAGCACGTGTTCCGCACGTTCGACACCAACGGCGACGGGACGATTGACTTTAGGGAATTTATCATCGCTCTGAGCGTCACCTCCCGGGGCAAGCTGGAGCAGAAGCTGAAGTGGGCCTTTAGTATGTACGACCTAGATGGCAACGGGTACATCAGCCGTGGCGAAATGCTAGAAATAGTGCAGGTGAGGCGTGGTCTTTATCTTCAAATTCGGATTACTGTGACCTCTTACCCTAGAGACATCTGGAGCTGGAGACGCCTGCCATGAATAGCTGGGTCCCTCCTGCTAACAGCTGGCGCTGGAGAAGAGCTGCTGTTGCCGGGCAGAAGGAACGCTCCCGGCAACGGGTTCCCCAGGTGGCTCCTGAGGGCACCATCCCAAATGGGTGGTTCGGAAAGGTGACTTGACCTGCAAGGCACAAATGAACAAAGGGTCCAAGAGATAAGCACACCTCAGTAGAAATGATCCTAAACCAAAATCTTACGGCTCTCCCTGTGGTTTTTTTTTCTCATGTGGTTTTGACAGTATCAAGAAGATGTGCATGCAAATTTTACTGACCTGATTAATCTCAAAATTAATACCACAAACTTAAAAATTTCAAATCTGAGTCAACAGCAGCTCAGAACACAAAAAGTGAAAGACAGTCCCTGCATCTCATAGATGCCAGGGGGACGTAGCCCTTTGGCTTGTGTCACTCGAGCTGCGTCGAGAAACGGGGGAGGCCCACCGAAGCAGGCCATTGGCCGCATGGGGTCCTGGCCCTGCTTAACATACCTGCTGGTGGTTTGGCCTCCAGCGTGGACTGCTTGCCATCCTGGCCATAGCTGATGTATAGCCGAAGCACAGCTACTTTCAGTGTCTCCAGTGCATTTTGGTAGACATTGTGAAAAACAGAGCACACCTAGAGAACGGACTGGTTGTCCATCCTCAGAGTGGAGCAGCGATAATTTAATGGGAGAGTTAGGATTGCAGGTGTGGGTCCTCCCAAGTGGGTGAAAAGGTGTTGTCTCTGTTCATATCCTTGGAAGCCTGGAAATGTGTTTCTTTACCCCTCCACAAAGAAACCCCTCATTCATATATATTCATATTTGCATGGAGTGCATGTATCCACGCACATATGTGTACCTGTGCGTATGTTAACAGCCTACCAAAGAGATGGTTACTTAACCCATTTGCAGAACACAGACTTACACGCAGGTGCTTTTACTTCTGTATTTCAGCTCAGTCCCACTCGTACATTAATCTAAGCCCTGACTTTCTATTAAATTGCCCCAGTGGTGGGAGTGTTTCTCTGAAGTGCAAATGAATATAGAAAAGAAAACTAAAAAAAGCTGGAGCCTGAAATCCCTGTTTGTTTTGGTTTATAAAGTCCTACAGCTGCCTGCCAGGGTCAGCTGCCTTTTTTATTGCTACAGGCTTAAATTCCTTTTCTGAGTCCCGATGCTTTATTGCTTGGATTGTGTTTTTGCTTTATCTCTTTTTTTAATACTCAGGCAATCTACAAAATGGTTTCATCGGTAATGAAAATGCCAGAAGATGAATCCACTCCAGAGAAGCGAACAGACAAGATCTTCAGACAGATGGACACAAACAATGATGGTATGACCCCACTAGCATAAAGCCCTTTGTAGGCCTTCGAAATAAAGGTTTTCCAGCCTGACATGAGCAGAAGCTGCTGGGGGTATTTTGGGGCAGGGGACAGGCTTTCCTGGCCAGCATCTCTGGGCTCGGTGTGGTCTCATCGAGCTCTTCCAGGCCATAGCAGAACAGAGTGAAGAGGCACTGGCTGAGAGAGATTTTTAGGTGGTAAAGACAAAAAGAGGGTGGCAAGGGGAAGGGAGATCCAAGGCACAGTTAGGTTGTCAGGGGAGCAAGGAAGCCATGGGGAAAGGAAGAAAAAACACATGAGCGTAGGGTTGTAGGCAAGGATGAGGAGGTGCTGGGAGGAAGGCACCCGTTCCCCTTGCAGCTCTTCATGTCAGACCTTGGGCCCTCGGGCTTCAAAGGGGATTGAGCAGGGAGTGGAGGGACTCGGCCAGGCAGGAGCAGGGGAACGATGCTCCTGTCCCTCTCCTCCTCCTTGCCGTGGCCCTGCGCTCCCAGGACGCTGCACCTGGTTCCTCCGCAGGAAAGCCCCTGGCTTGTGCCGGGGGCTGTGCTGCCCCGTGACAGCGCCTTGAGCAGCTGGTGGCACCTTGTGCCCTGTCCCCACGGGCTGCTGGGCCGGCACAGCACGCCTCTTGCCTTGGCGGGTTGAGCACATGGCGTGTGGCCGTCATCTTGAGGCAGCTGGCCATGCGAAGCCACTCGGGAGGTGCACGGGGCGGCTAGCAGGCATCCTGGCTCCTCTCGTGCTCTCCCAGCCCTCAGCCTCTGCAATACGTCTGGATTTTCCTGAGGCTGCTGTTCACGTCCGCCCGCTGTTTCGCTGGTGAACCATCTTCTGGAAAGGCTCCTCAGAAATCCCCGCGGGTGCAATGTTCCTCAGGTTGTTTTCTCCAGCAGGGCGACAAACCATGAGCAAAGTCTCGCTCCTCTCTGCCCTGGCTGGGATCGCAGCTCAGGGCAGCGCCATGCAGGGGCAGGGCAGCCCTTCGGCTTGCGCTGGGCGTCTGCCGAAGCCTCACGCAGAGCCGACCTCCAAAAACAAATCCTCAGGGTCCGTAATACCAGCTGGCTGCCATCAGTCTTGTGTGCGTGTACCCAGAGCGCGTACATAGGCGAACGGTTGCATCCGGTCTTGCAGTGTTTACTCCCTTGCAGTCTGTGCTTCACGGGGAGCTAATAGCTCCTGAGCCCGTTGTGGAGCCACTTGATATGTTGTCTGGCAGTGTACCCATAGCTACCCCTCCACCTGAGCTGGCTCATTTCCTTAGGATTGAAACAGACAGGCAAAATTGAGCAATTTCCTCTTGCCATCAGCCTGCCAAGATGTTTACTCATGTCCTATGAGAGGTAGATTTTTCCCTTGGAATTACCCCGCTTGATGGCCCAAGGCAGGAGTGCCCCTGATGGCCCGGTGACAGCACGGGGACTTCGCTTGGCAGCCTGAATGTTTAGTAATGCGGGGAGCAACCGGAGTAGAAATTTCGAGCTCTTTCCTACCAAAAAGGGAGATATTTTCAGTGAGAGTGAGGATTTAGTTCTAGTGCTGAGACATGGAGACTTGTAAAAATATGACCTTTTGTATAGAAAGGCTATTTTTTATTTAGGATAATTTTATGGCTGCATTTTGGCATCTGCTACTACAGTCAGAGGGTAAATTCCTAGCTGTGCTGATGTCCTTGAGTGTTTTACCTTTGACTTCAGCAAAACCAGCACTTCGTCCCCTGACTTTATATGTGGAGAGCCATAAGGTAATGTGATGAAAGAAATTTTTTCTGCGGAAAGTGGCACATGCAGATGTGCGACGGAGTAGTGATTGCAAATCCTGCCAAATGCACCCTCCATCTGTTGCACTTCATAACTGAAATAAAGTCATCCTGTTCCCAGTAAAATATCACCCCTGTAGGCCGCGCATTGCTAAGTACCAGAAGGCGCACGCTGAGATGTGTGATAGACTGAGGCTTGGAAAGGCTCCCCCGTGAGCTGGGCAGGTCCAGTGTCCGGTGAGATGGAGAAGGATACACATGCTCTTGATGGCTTGAAATGTTTCTTGTTCCCTCTTTAACTGTTGGCCATTGCTAGCAAATTTTGATTTGTGCTTTTCTTTGAAATATTACCAGGAAAGAGGAAAACTAATAGACTTCCTAAGTGTTACAGTTACTCTTTCCAGACCAACAAAAACTTAGGAAAACACTTTACTTGGAAGCATTAGCTGAAAAACCCGAAACTGGATAGAAGCGTACCATCTGTTTTTAAGCTTCTTTGTGTTTCAACAAGATGGACATTTACTCATTTTTCCACACACAACCCAATTTAGGTGCTGGACGCTGAGTCCAATCCTTTCCTCTGTTCCTGCGGGAGGAGGCTGAGACCATCTCAGTATGGATACCTTAAAAACCTGCTAGGAAAAACCAGTGCCATGAATTTGTGCCTCCCTGCATCCTAGGGCACCTGGCCAAAAGAAGCTGGGAGCGTGAGCAGACGGGAGACCACCAGACTGCCCTGTCAGAGAGGCAGCAGTACATGTCTCCTCCATTTCATCTGAAACACAGGAACATTTTTGGGAGTGAAGACCTGCGTTTCTAGGAGTAAATGGTATGACTAGGAAGCTAGCAAGCACTGGTAACAACTACTCCCAGCCCTGCAAAGCCTTACTCACACTTTGGGCTTGCATAGTCTCATTGCATGCACACTGATTTAAGCTAAGTCCCCAAGGAAAAATCGCCTAGGGCTGTTACAAAGCCGGGAGGCTGTGGGAATGCAGCCTTGTGCCAGCTTCTCACCTCAGGGGAGCTTGCCTTTCCCTTGACCTCTGCCAGGGAGGCCACACTTCGTACCTGCAGCAAGGGAAATCTTTGCAAATCATTCAAGAAAGTTGTTTCATTTCTCCTGCATGTTATTATGGCTTATCTCTGTGTATGTGTAGTGTATCTTGAGGGGAAATGCTAGCGGTGCCGTTCAGTTCAGGGTACTGAACAGAAGAGTATTAGTGATGTTAGTCAAAGCAGAGTTCAGCTATGGGCTCTGGGCGGCTTTTGGGCAGGAGACTGGTTCTGCACTCCGTGGAAAACTTGCCAGGAGGCCGGACCACCGAAGGGGGTGGGTCCAGGAGACAGCCAGGGCCTTTCTGCCATGCCATGCCTTGCGGGACCGTCGCAGCCGCGCTTGGGAGTAGTTGTTCCTCACCTTCATTCCTCCAGAGACTCACGTGTCAGAGCCACGGATTTCTATCCAGTCAGTCCCAGCCAGTGAATCCAGCCGAAAACAAATATTTATAAACCAGGAACACGCCTGGGTGAAGCGTGGGAATGTGTGGCTTGTCCAAGGTTGGCTTTTCGATCTGCCCCGGGCAGTGTCCCCTTCCTGTACACCCAGCAGGTCCTGCAAGTGGTTTGTAAGTGTAGGAGAAACCGCCACTGTTCAACCTTAAATGCTGCAACAAGCCATAATGGTGCGAAGCAGAGAGATTTGTGATATTTAGGTCTAAAGTGTCATATAATATGGACATCATTTTCAGAGTATGCACATGTTCAGGTACCATACCTCATATTAATGTTTTACTGCAGTTTGTGTAATCTAGTTCAAGGCAAAAACTGACAAACTGTATTAGAGCAATTGTTATTTTTATTTGGTAATGTCTTTTGAAATAAAAATAGCGTCTATTATGCTAGATTGTTTTACGGAAAAAGAATGCATCTGGGCTTAAGGGCTTGAGAGGGATTTGACTGTGGTGCATTGCTCTATAAATTCCCTCCGATGCATTTGCAGTAGATTAAATATACATGTATTGCTAGATCTTTCGTGAGGAAGGGTTTTTTTTAAGCTACAGTGCTTGGCAGCACAAATGACTTTTTTTTCTCTCTCTTTTGTTTTTCCTCCCTTCAAGGTAAACTGTCCCTGGAAGAGTTTATTAAAGGTGCCAAGAGCGATCCTTCTATTGTGCGATTGTTACAATGTGATCCGAGCAGCGCAAGTCAATTCTGATTAAACTGGACAGTTTGCAAAGAGAATACCGGCTTGTCGTTCAAGCTTTGCTCGCAAATGGATGCCTTCTCAATCATTCCTCAACAGTTAGCGGATAGGATCCCATTGCCAGATTGTGTGTGTCTGAGTGAAATGGCCCTCGCTCCTCTCACTAACACCAGTGCAGCTCTCCTTTGGCAGCTCCATTTCTGCTTCCCCATAATGTTATGATTCACTCTACACATGTAACGTTAATTGAACGGTATGTTTACATGCAGATACAAAGAGTTCAAATCGCTGATGAGATACCACTTCACTTAGTCTGTAAGAAAGATGACGTTCTCGTGGTCCCAAGGAGATGCTAGGTAGGACTTTTATCCAACATAGCGGATGGTCGATAATTTATTTTGCTTCAGAAATGACTATGTAAAAAGTGTGGACTGAATGGAGTAGAAAGTTCAAAAAAAAGAAAAAAAAAAGAAAAAAAACAGCTTTCCTGGGCATGGTTCCAATTTTCTTTTTGAGGAAAATTGCTTGCACTTATCTAATGGTCTTTACTTTCTTTTAATATATATATAAATTATATATATATGGTGAAGTAAAATTTTAAATATTTAGGTCATCTATTTAAGGCATAAAATAGAATCCAAGCTTTGTTTCTTCTAGTTGTCTGTGATTTATTCAAATCTTGGAGATTGTTTTTTGTGATATTTATGCATTAGCAAATTGCTGTTCAAAAAGAAATGCATGACTAGCAGTTTGTGGATATTTCACTCTGTTTAATTACTGAATGCAAATATTTGTTCATTTTTACTGTTGATTGTTCCAGCATTACTATATTAACAAAAGATCTGAAAGGAGTAATCCTAATTTTGTATTTCTCAGTGGAGTCCTACTTTCTGGTGGTTGCTGCATTAAATGGCTTTTGAGTGAAATGAGGTGACGTGACTCGCACTGCTGTCCTCAACTTTGCTACACCTTCTACCTTTTGCTGTCAAAATGTTAATAGTCTTGTGCATTCCAGTGTTATTTAATATCTGCCTAATGCCAAGAAATAATAATTGAAATAAAAGACTACTTTTCTTGTCAATTCCTGTCTTGTTTTAAGCCATGCAACAAGTCTGTATAATCCCATATCTGACTGAGGGATAAGAACGGCTCACATGTCCCCATTTTGTCCAAGACATGTTTCCTTGTAACTTAACTTCTTCCTGAGGATCCCGCTGTGCTAAAAACAGAAAATTTAGAGGTATTAGGATGCATGGCATTGGGGAGCCCTTCTCTGGAGCGATTTGATCCTCCTTTGGTCCTCCTTGCTCTCCTTTGGCTCGACACCACATTTCCCACCTCTCCCCCAACAACCCTTGAGTACCGCGGCCTTTTTATTCAAAGAGAAACGCACCTTGTTCCTGCCTGTATAAATAAACCTCTCGTCCCTAGGCATGTGTTTTTGGAATAATGTTTGACCCCGCTGGCACAGAAAGCAGTTTTCCCCATGTTCATCCAGCCTGCAAGTAGCTGCTGCCTTTTGCAGAATAGTGAAGTATCAACAAATGCTTAGGCATGAACTTCATTTTAAGCAGGTAATTAAGGGATTTTTGCTAGGTAAAAGTGTCAATACTTTTACTGCTTCAAAAAAAAAAGAGATGATGTATGATGTAGCATCCAAGTACAGATGCCTTGTTAGGTCAAACTCAGGCTAAAATACAGACTCATGTCAGCGCTGCCAAGCAAAAGAGTTTTTTTCATTATTTTTTTCCTAGAAATTCAAATTTGAGCTATTAAACCAACATTCCTTTCAGCTGCAACACCTCACTGAGAAGCAAAGCCCTGAAAGTGAAGTTAATCAGAAATCTATCTATCTGCTTTCCCTGGGCAAGCCAAGCAAAAAACCCAGAAGTAATGCAAAAAAAGTTTCATGGTTGTTTGTTTATAGTCTGTCTCTAGCCTATTTATGGTAATCCTGTCTGCAGAAAAATGCTGCACTATTAAAATTGCTGCAGATGCACTTACACTGATGGTACTTTTTGCATGGTCTAGGTAGTTGGTTATTTAGAGGCACGAGGTCACTTGTCCTTACAGCAGCAGTAAATCAGCCTCAGTGGACTCGGGCATGTGTCTGTACTTAGAGGAATGTGCAAAAACGTCTCTCACCTTGAGGAAGGACAGTGCCTCCAAGAGTGACCGCAGTGTTCAAACGCATGGCCTGTTTCTGGGATCTTAAAATGAGTCAGTTATTTTTTTAGTCAAACGTTGCACAATATCCTTTTTTTGGGTACCAAGGATCTAAAAATTGTTTTCATTTAGCATTCTAAAATGCCATCGATTCTCCCCTCATCGTTTGTCTGCTTTTATAAGAGTCATCCTTTTCTCACCTTTTCGTGACATTTCTCCTCTACTGCTTTCCATGCTTCTGTCTTTGGTGAATGGCAACTCTCCTTCTTAAAAAAAAACAACAGCAAACTAATTGCAAAAAGCTCATTTTGACTTTCTTTTGGGAAATCAAAATGACAAACATTTGAGTTTTCTTGGCCAAAAGTTCCCATTTCTTGGACTTCAGATTTTTTACTTTGAAGTGGGCCAATGTTCCCTGGCCAGAAAGCTCACTGTCCTCCATGGAGGTAGTCCAGCAGGCTGGCAAGCTGCCAGCCAGTGACATTCAGACTGGGGCTAGGTCCTGACTGCCTAGTTGCACGTCTCCTCTTTTCTGCCTTTCTCGCTGCTTCCTCAAACTTTCTGGTCTTGGGTTCGATATTCTGAGCTTCGACCTGCTGTCACCCACTAGTTCACCAATTTTGCCCTTCTAGCAAAGGCGGCCAGCAGGTGGAGGGAGGTGATCCTCCTTTTCCGTTCAGCCCTGGTGAGGCCTCCCCTGGAGTACTGTGTCCAGTTCTGGACTCCCCAGTACAAGAGAGACATGGAGCTCCTGAAGCGAGTCCAGCGGAGGGCTCCAAAGATGATGAGGGGACTGGAGCACCTCTCCTCTGAAGAAAGGGTGAGAGAGCTGGGCCTGTTCAGCCTGGAGCAGAGAAGACTGAGGGGGAAATCTGATCATTGTGTATAAGTATCTGAAGGGGGGTGTAACTATCTGAAGGGAGGCTGTCAAGAGGATGTGGCCAGACTCTTCTCAGTGGTGCCCAGTGACAGGACAAGAGGCAACAGGCACAACCTGAAACACAGGAAGTTCCACCTGAACATGAGAAAAAGCTTCTTTCCTGTGAGGGTGACTGGGCACTGGCACAGGTTGCCCAGAGAGGTTGTGAAGTCTCCTTCCTTGGAGATGCTCAAAAGCTGTCTGGACAGGGTCCTGGGCAATGTGCTCTAGGTGAGCATGCTTGAGCAGAGGGGTTGGACTAGCTGATCTCTAGCGGTCCCTTCCAACCTCAACCATTCTGTGAATCTGTAATTTGTGTGTAGGGCAGAGAGTGCTGGGACGATTTCCACAGCAAGCTGCGCTGGGTGCACGTGTCAGGCTCCAGCCCAGCTCCACTTCTGGAGCATCATTGAGGAAGATGTGTGGGAGAGGCAGTCGCATGCAGCACCCCAGGTGCTGGGGAAGGCTGGGCTGCCCCAGAGAGGCTGCCGGCACGGAAACCTCTTGATTAAAGGTTTCCAGTGAAGTCCTGGAAAGCAGCTCAGCCATGTATGCCAAGCAGCTGTCTTTAAGGAAAGCAAACCTGCTTCAGAGGCTGAAGTTGTGCATCTTCAATCACTCGCTAACTTTGAAAATCTTGGCTCCGCTTTGAAAAGCTCCTGTGAGAATGTATCTGCTTTCCTGACAGGTGACGAGGAATGAGAGGGTAATTTACAGGCTTGTCCTCCAGAATGTTTCATTTGCGCACTGATCTAAGTGAAGTTCAAAAACAGGGGTGAAGCCTGGAGAAATCAGGGAGAAACTCTTGAGGGAAGCAGAGCTTTACTGCTGAGCAGTCTGCTGGTGGGTCCTTTCGGGGAGGGAGTGTTTGGGGCGGGGGGGGGGGGAAATATAAATGCATAAATAACTTGTGAAATAGCAACCAAGGGAATAATAGAAAGCTTCAACTTGTTAAGTGGCTTAGGTGTCTTGGCAAACTGTAGGTTTAATCAAAAACAGTCGAACTTAGCAAAAGTGGAGTTCAGTTAAAAAAAAAAAAAGTCATCAACAGGTCCATTTTTACCAACCTTTTGTAAGCTGCGTAATTATTTTCTCACCACTGAGATATGTCAAACTCTAAAAGCTTTAGGTAATTACTACATAAATTTGGGCTTTTCTATATGAATTGCAGGTCCTATTAAGCTAATTCAGGATTACGTCATTGCCTTTCAAATTAACTTAGTATCTGTCTGGTTGCAGCGTAACTGCAGCCTGGGTGGCAGAGGTGCTTGGAGTCAGTCCTGTGTTTCTGTGTTGTCAGGTTGGCATTAGCCATTTGTTTTTCAATAAGGCCCCTTGCACCGTTTTTATGGCCTTAGCCTCTGAGTAATGAACTCTGTTGAAGAGCAACGTGAACATTTCTGGAGCTCTTCGGCAGATGGTCTCTATCAAATAGTCCTCAATTCATTACGCAGGGCACCCTTTATTCATATTTAAAGGTTAGGAGCAGATATTCATTTTAATGGTCCAGTGGGTAGACTGGCATTTTGAGATCCCTAGACTGTATGAAGTCACATATATTCCTGATGAACCTGGTAACTGCTGTTGCCGCTTTGAGAAGGGAAGGTGTCTCACTGGGAAAAAGAAAAAAAAAAAAGGAGCAGAACATATGTCTATGTAAAAGCTTTGGCGCTCTGCCCACGTTGGGGTAACTGTGTCTGCAGCCAAACGTGATGTGTTTTGCGTATTCTTCCAAAAACATATAGGTTATTTTAACAGGCTGGTACAGGGGGTGGTGCCAGTGCCATCTTCTCCATGGTCCTTCCCTGACCCAGATCCCTCGGTCTTTCCTAGGGCTGACTGTGCTGGTGCAATGAATTTCCTCAGTCCCCAACGGAGGCTGGAGCTGCTCCGTCTCTGGGGCGGCACGTGCCCAGGGACCTGTCTCGGGGCAGTTCAGTGGCCACGAGGGGCCGGCACTGAGGGCATGCACGGGGCTTGGTGCAGGGATGGGGGCAGAGCATCCGCTGCCTCCGCTCACCTCAGGCTCTCCTGGCCTCTGTGTTGTTTCAAAGGGAGTTTCCCAAATGTTGCACCTAATTCCAACTCCTACCTTCACAGGATACTCGGAAATGACTTTTTTTTTTTTTTTTTCTGCTCCAATAAACGGAGACACTGATCAGTTGTATGTGAAATACCCATGCACAGTGGCACGGTCACACTTTCAGGGGAGCAGTGCCGCCCTTTCCCACAGGTGTCATTAGCTAACCCTTCCAAAGCTCCACTTTTGGGTCTTGCCACACATGGAGAAGTGCTCTATTTTGCCCGTTTTACCAGCAGGATCCTGGTTATAGCCCCTGAGGCCCAACACCAGCCCCCTCAGACCCTCCAAGGACGACTTTCCCTCTGGGATCCTATGACAGCAGCTAGTGGTTTCCCTGCGAGAGGACCAACTTACCCCAACCAAACTCATCCTCAGTTGGGTTATAGCAGGCAGGAAAGGTCTCTTGCCTGACGGCAGGACAGAGGCCCACTCCTGGCCTCCACGCACGCTCCCGCGTCTGAGGTGAATGCAACTGAGCGTGTCTTCCCCACTGGTGCTGTGGCTGTGGTTGCTTCATAGGCTGTCCCGTCCTGTTAAAGATAGCTGCAGAGAAAATTTCTATTGCCTTTCCTGGGACGGGACAAAGGCCTCTTCCAAGTCACTGTTTGCATGTTGCCCTTTGGTTTCAAACTAAAAAAAAAAAGAAATCCATAAAGTCCAGCTCTTCTGAGACACCAGCTGTGCCCTTGGGTACAGATTCAGTCAGCTCCATTTCTACCTAGGTCCATGGGCTAGAGCTTGCTGCTGGTTAGGGTCCGGGAAGGCTTAGACATCCCAATCCAGATGTTATCCTGGTTGAATCTGGCAGCAGAGGTTGCCCAGGCTTGCTCTCATTAAAGCCCAGTCATGTGGCTGTGCACAGCTCTGCTCAAACCAGTCTTCATGAGGGAAAACCACCATGAGTTTCTTTTAC